ACAACACTACTGTAACTACCAGTTTCATAGCAAAACAGATATCATTTTAGTTTGGTTTAATCTTCATTAATCCTGGAATCATTTAAGAGTGCAAAGAGTATGAAGCCTAAGGGAAAGAGTAAGGATAGAATCTTGCCTTAGAAACTTTTGTTCAAAGTTTCAACGTCGTCTTCTTAAAAAATCCCGGCGAGTTCTAAAACCCGGTTACTGTTCATGGGTACGAAATACTATTCCCGAACTCAAAATCTGATCTCCACCGTTCAGATTGTGCGTCATTGAGTCGTGAACCTCTCCTCCAAAATTCAGCTCGATTGGACCACGGACGAAACGGAATCGGATGTTTGATGAAATCTGGGCAGAATGGAAAAAACTTGTGCGACCCAGTTACTGTTCATGAGTACAAATCACTGTTCCCGAGGTCAAACTCTGATCTTCACCGTTCAAATTGTGCGTCACTGAGTCGTGAACCTCTCTTCCAAAATTTAGCTCGATCGGACGGACCAAGCGGGATCGGATGTTTGATGAAATCTGGGCAGAATGGAAAAAACATGTGCGACCCAGTTACTGTTCACGAGTACGAATCACTGTTCCCGAGGTCAAACTCTGATCTTCACCGTTCAGATTATGCGTCACTGAGTCGTGAACCTCTCCTCCAAAATTCAGCTCGATCGGACAGCGGACGAAGCGGGATTGGAGCTTTGATCAAACCTTGGCAGAATGTGAAAAACTGCGTTTTTCCTTCTCCACTTCCACAAAACGTGTGCTTTGTTTAAAAAAACCCTACACAGACGTCTACCTTATACTTATAGAGTTTTCCTAAACCCTAGGTTCATTTAAGTCCAACTCACAATCCTAACCGGCCCATCCAATTAACGTAGAAACCTACGACGGCTATAATATAAAACCCTAATTTATACTGTAATTAAAACCCTAGTTAGATGTATTTACCTAATTACCCTATTCACCATTAAATACTTAACAAATAATCTAATTGAACAAAATAAAAATTAGTAAACCCAATTAAACCAAATAAGACACACATAAAATAAGACACACATAGAATAATTAAACCAATTACACTTAAACCATTAATGCCAATTAAATAATTAAAACACTAACAAGTAATTCCAATCAAATAATTAAACCAATTACACTTAAACCATTAATGCCAATTAAATAATTAAAACACTAACAAGTAATTCCAATCAAATAACTAAAAATAAATATCATTTAAATAAATTAAATCACCACAAAAGAAAATAATTAAGCACCTAATAAAAAAAAAATAATGACACATAATCAAATAAAATGCACTTAAATAATAAATTAAATACCATTAAATACCAGGAATATCCTTTTTAAAATTAGGGGTATTACAGGAAGGGTTAGAAATCATCCACTCACTATGTGTTCTTACACTACCTCTCACACACACACAATGCAAGACTAAATGGTGAACCTATACTTGTCATGAATCTATGGTTCATTCCTAGGCTTAATCTCAAGCCTACACTTGTCACCATCCTATGTAAACTTTCAAGACTTAATATTGAACCTACATTTGTCAACCATCCATGCCAACAAGTGTATCAATCCTAGGCCAACAAGTGGGTGAATCTCTACCCTCCACATGTCATCATCCAAGGCATCAAAGTGTTTCTACACAAATGTCAACAAGTGGACCAATGTATCACACTTTTCGAAAATTGCAAACAAGTCCTTTTTGAAAATATCTCCCAAATAAAATTACAAAATGGTCCCTAAGATGAAAAATAATTATTTTGCATAATTACACAAAACCCCTCAAGTTTAGGTTAATTACACATCATGCCCTTTACAAGAAAAGTACTAATCTAGCATGCTTTTCAAGAAAAGTAAAAATACCAATGTCACGGAAATCAAATACCATGAATGCATGCAAAACCGGAATCAAATCCGAGCACAACAAGTAAGGTTATGCAAGGAAAAACGAAAAAACGGGAAAAAGACGAAATAGGGAAAAGATAAAAAAAAGTAAATCGCAGAAAATGGAAAAGGAGGAAAAAAGGCCGGGTCATTACAAAAACTCAATATATTACTATTTTTAAAATAATTGACCAAAAAAAAAAAAAAAATTCACTCACAAAAGAAAAATAGATTTTATCTCTAAGTAAAGGAGATAATCATTATCTTTGTCTTTATCCCATTGAATTATATATTTCTTTTCTTTCCTGTTAAAAGAGAGAACATGTAAAAGTTGTTGGAGTTTAAAGCTATAAAGCACGGACACGATACGGCGATATGACAAATTTTAAAAAAAATAAGATACGAATACGGCGGAGATACACCTATAAAATTATATATATATATATATATATATATTCAAAATATAATTACTATAACCTTACACATTAATATTCTTAATAACAAACAGGTATATATAAATACAAAATTACAAATAAAATATCAACAAATAACATGACCAATTTCAATAATTTCATATCTGTTATAAGAAAAATATAGACAAAACAAAACAAAAAATAAATGAAAAATAAAGTTGATCCAAATTCCAAACGAAGATGTGCAGAAGAGACATAGTCATAATGGGCTAAAAATGCACATGAATAAACATATATACTTTTAGCCTTTCACGAAGTCTTGTTCATGTAACTTAAAAGAAAAAAAAAAAAAAAATTGTCTTGTTCATGTACAGAGATAATTGAAGAAGAGGAGAGACTAAGAGAGGAAGTGAGATACTTTGTTGTTTGTAGTTATTTTCTTATTTTTTCAAAATTTTATTTTTAAACTTCTAAAATTAGTAAATTACATTAGGTACCCCATTTATCTTAAAAAAAAAATACAAAATATACCCCGCCATGTCCCTTGCGTGTCCACCCCGTGTCCTCTGCGTGTCCGAGCTGTGTCCAATAAAAAATAATTTCTGGACACTTCACAGAAGTGTCGGACACGTGTCCAATCCGAAAAGTGTTCGACACTGGTGCGGAACTCTTGGGAGGAGTGTCGTACTTCATAGGTTTAAAGGGATTTTGAAAATAAACCAATATAGTAATTTTTAAGGCACAGTCAATTGTTTGAGAAATTAATTTATTCTAATAGCAATGTGCAAATTTATGTGTATACATAAATGTGTTTTTTATAAATGTGTTTTTTTTTTTTTTTTTTTTTTTTTTGGGTAATATAGTAGCAAATTAGGGGAGGATGATTGGCACTCGGAGAGTTGAGCGCTCCACCAATGTTACTTGTTGCGCTACATAAATGAAAGTGAAGAAGCTAAGCTAGGTTTTCTTTACAGCTAAAAAAAACTCATACAAGGATTTTGGAACTTGTTGGTTGGTCATGACCACAAAAAACTGATGGGGGGGCTATTATAATCGGTTATCCAAACACAGAATTGTTGGGCCGCTTGTGAGGAAATTAACTTTATCTAAGAAAGCAAAGTAACAATGGGTTTGGTCGGCTGATTGTGGGCCTTGTGGCATACACCATCAACTCCAAGACAAACTACCATTAAATCGAAACGACATTATTGAATGTGACACTTCATTCTTCTTCTTCCACCTCCTTCCTCTTTTTATTCTACAGAAATTACATTTTAAATATAAAATTCTTTTCCATTAATTGCACTCAACAAAAAAATTATTTATGTCCAGTTCCACACTTAGTTTTTTTTTTTTTTTTTCCTTTAAAATTGTTAAACAAGTTTTTTAGTTTCATATCATAAATCGTGAAAACATATTTTTGTCCAAAACTTTTTGGACAAAAAGATAATTATATTGATTGACAAAAATGGCGAGTTTTCTTAGAAGCGTTGAGTTTTCTTATTAAAAACCTGTGAACATGGTCATTATAATTGATGCCTGCTATATTTACTTTTTTTATTGCTTTATCTTCTATTTTTTTTTTTAATTTAAAAAAGTTATCACTGTACCAGATTTATTCGCTTAACTTTCTCTCCAAAGAAATATTATAAATTTGATTGACAAATTAGGACCTTCTGTTTCAATATTTGTGAGGATATAGTAAAATTATTAATTCCTCTCAAAATGCTACCACAAACCTTGATAAAATACAAAAACAATAAATAAATAAATAAATAAAACCAAGAGGCTTACTTAATGCCATTCGATAACTTAATGTATTAATGTCTTTTGTAAATTTTGAAGGGTTAAGTTTTACTATCTCTATTTATTAGGGATGTCAATTTTTACCGCCCCACCGGGGCCCCGCCCTGTTCCGCCCCGTTAATAACGGATATGGGAATACTTATTATACCATTGGGGCGGATATGGATACAAATTTTGTACCCGTCGAGGGTCACGGGGCGGGTAAGGGTTCAATATACATATCCTAGGGGCCCCGTCCCGCCCCGCCCCGCATATAACTATATATATATATATATATATATATATTAATAAGTTATTTTAGCGGCTTACCCAACCCATCTCTTATAATCCTAATTTGGGATGTAAACTTGGTATTAAATTTGCTTTTGTTTTGGTTATGGTGGAAGTTGGAACTTAGAACTTCTTATGATTTGGTTGTATTAAATTTTTATTTTTGTTTATTATGTTCTTTGAATTATGTTATGTGCATGTTATTTTTTTTATTTTTGTTAAAATACATAATTTTATTTATGTTGTGTCATTCTTAGGCTTTGCACATTTAAATAGCAGGAGTTTAAGTTCCAAAAAGTGGGAGAAAAAAATTTGTTAGTGGGGCGGGCACGGGGGCACAGTATTTCCTAACGGGGCGGGGTTGGATATGAAAATTCAACCCGTCGCGGGTCTCGGGGCGGGCATGAACTTGACAAAAATTAAAAGGAGCGGGGCGGGATTTAGGGAAACCCGCTCCAAACCCGCCCCGTTGCCATCCCTACTATTTATTAATCTAACAACTAATACTTAAAAAAAACTAAGAGGCTTACTTATCCCATCTGACGTGGCGCCAACTTTTTTTAGTCAATTGTTGCATGGTTGAATCTTGTTGGTTAAGGACTTAAGTGACGTTATTGAAAGGAATAAAGTAAATTTCATACCACTTTTCGAGGGAAAAAAAGAAAGAAAAAAGAAAAAAAAAAAAATGTTAACAACTCTAAATACTCATGCAAGCCAGAGTACTCGCGAATGACAGATGACAGTGTGAGATATATATAAGACCTCGCACCCTCACGTTTATGTCATAACGAACGGTAGTCAGTCACTCTCACCTCTCTCTACACATTCGCTCTCTAGACATGGCTACATCATTTCTTCCTATTCTCTCACTCCTCACCATCCTTCTTTCTCTCTCATCTCTCTGCACTGCAGCATCCGATTCCCTAGACTCATTCGTCTACGGTGGCTGTACACAGGTTAAATACGTCCCAGACTCACCCTACGAGTCCAACCTCAACTCACTCCTCACCTCCCTGGTCAACTCAGCCACCTACTCAATTTACAACAACTTCACCATCATGGGTTCGAGCCCGCAAGACGTAGTCTACGGCCTCTACCAATGCCGCGGCGACCTCTCTATGCCGGACTGTGCCATGTGCGTGACTCGCACGGTGAGTCAACTCGGGCCGCTGTGCTCCCAAACTTGTGGAGGAGCTCTACAGTTACAAGGGTGTTTCGTCAAGTACGATAACGCTTCCTTTCTGGGTGTGGAGGACAAGACTGTGGTGTTGAAGAAATGTGGGCCGTCGACTGGGTATGATACGGAAGGAATGGGCCGTAGAGATGCGGTTCTGGCCGGCTTGGCTGGGTCCAGTGAGCACTACAGAGTTGGTGGGTCCGGGGATGTGAAGGGCGTGGCTCAGTGTGTTGGGGATTTGAGTGTGAGCGAGTGTCAGGATTGTGTTTCGGAGGCGATCGGACGGTTGAAGAGTGACTGTGGCACGGCAGTTTATGGTGATATGTTCCTGGCCAAGTGTTATGCAAGGTACTCAACTAGTGGGGCCCACCTCTATTCTAAATCAGATAAGGGTAAGCAATGACTCTTACTTGTTAATCAGTATATTACAAAATTAAACCAAATATATCTTTTGCTTTTGTAAAATACATCGGTTAAACATGCCCTTACTAATAATATTACCAAAACTAACTAGTTTTGGTGAAATTATTGAAATATCCATATACTAAATAAATTTTGATCAAAATTTAACAATTGGTGAGAAGTTGAATTGAATATCTTTGCTCTCCTAGAACTCTAAAATATATGTCATTTTTTTTTTTTTTTGGGCAATTATAGATTCTTCTACTAATGATGGTGAGAAGACATTTGCAATTATCATTGGATTATTAGCTGGAGTTGCTCTGATCATTATATTCCTAACTTTCATTAGAAAGGTGTTTGAAGGAAATGGTAAATATTTCTCTTCTTTTCATTTTTCCTTTTAAATTTGTCAATCTTTCTAGCATTTGACTGAAAAAGATCTAACTTTGAAATGATAAAGTTTGTGACGAATATTCATATAGATTTCTTTTGCTTTTTGCAGGTAAATAAGTAGCAACTTTGCAAAACACTGTCCTCCACTCTCAACCCTCCCTCATTTGATTTACTTTTTGTACCTCTTTTGGCTTTCTTTTTTTCTTGTTTTTTTTTTCAAATCTTTATGATGTCAAATTACCTTTTTCTCTTTCTATGGAATTTCTTTATATTTCTATTGAAAAGGAGATTGTGAAGAAAAGATATGTCTAGGGACAATTACCCCTTAAACAAAAGGTAAAAAGGAGGAGGAGGAAAAGGAGGCTAAAGATTCCACCTTCCTCTCCACTTAACAAAGTAGTGAGTGTTGTGTAATGTCAAGAAAATCACATACTGTTTCTGTAAAGTTGCAGACTGTGTTTCTTTTATCGTGTCTTACTATTGTTCATCCTTTTTTGGGACTACGGATATTTTTTCCAACATTTTAATTCGCACTTTACATATATTGTTTTTATTTTTATTTTTTTATAGAAAATTTCTTGGATAAAGAGAAGAAATTTTGATAAAAATTGGAAGTGCTAGAGAAATTTTTTGTTGAAAAATCATTTAGGCTATATTCAGTTACATAGAATTCAAGAAAAATATGGTTTAAAGTTAAAGAAAATTGAACTAAATTTTTTTTTTTTAATTCCATCAATTCCAATTTCGAATAGCTGAACATAGTCTTATGGAATTGTAGTATTGGAATTGAAATTGGTGGAATTGAAGAAAATATTGGTTTTTCTCCGATTTCATCAAATCTAATTCTAAAACTCCAATTCCATACCTGACAAATATAACCTTAAAGAGTTTTAGAAACCAATTTTTGCTTTCAGAATATGGGGAGCATTCAACCTTTTTGATTCCATTAAGATAGGAAATAAAAAAATAAAATAGAAATTTCTTTTGAACTTCTTGTTTTCATATTCACTCTTTTTCACATGAAATCTTTCTCTTTAAGTGAAAACAGAGGGAAAAAAATAAAAACAAATTTATTTTCCAAGAACAATTCATCATCATTCAGGAAATTAAACTCAAAATCATTTCATCATCATTCAGGCAAATTAAGTAGCAATTCTCATTGTAGCGATTATACATCATAAATAGCACACTTTAGTTTAGGAATTAAACCATAATGCAAAATTTGATTAACAATTAAAACAATTTATATTCTTTATATATCTCTATGCCTCTATGTAAACACACACACACATATTGATAGAAAGTATTGTCTTTCTATATTTTCAGTTCAAGTATATGTATTAAAACAATGATCTCGTCAACTAAAATATTTAGTAGAAATCAGCATCACCCTTATACATTTACATACTAAAACCAAAAATAAATCTTTGCATTCTCGGTTGTTAAAATCAATGCATATATGCAAAAACATATATTTCGATCACTAGAATTTCAAGAAAAATTAATTAGTTGGCATATATATATATATATATATATATATAATTTGTCAATATTTTTTCAATAGTCATAATGCAGACGAAAAATGTGGTGGATCACACATGCATGCTTTCTCTCTTAAAGAAGAATAGTGCGGTACATTCCCTCATGCATGCACTTATATATATATTTATATATAAGAGAATGCTTACAGGCTAAGAAATTTACAAAACAAAATGGAAAAGGCAGCTTTATCTATGAAAGCTAGGTTGGATTTCATATCATCGATCATATATACATACATAAAGAAAAAGATTTAAGATAGGGGCAACACCCAACAATCCTAATTGCAAAACCGCTTTATTTTCAATCATGCATGCTAATTAGATGATGTCCACACTTTTATTCATGAATAAGACATTAACATTATCCAAATACCATGCTACCTCACAGTTGTAAAGTTGAATTAATAATTGAACCGTTCCATTTATATAAATACATATGTGTGTGTGTGTGTGTGTAAACAGAGAGCGAAAGAATTCTTGCATATTGATTAATTTCTTATACTGGTAATAAAGCAAGAATGCATGCATCAGAGATGGTAAACAGACAAGGGTATATTAGAATATACATGTAAAAGAGTCTGTGAATCCTTTGAAAATTAGATTCTGTGCTTTACTCTAAATATGATAATCATACAAAGTAAATTGTTCATTATTAAAGCTATAAGCAATTATTGTTTGACAATACTATCTCTCAAGCTTTGTTGTCTATTATAATCTATGAAATTGAAGCTAAGATTGAACCTTTAAATCAAAGCACAGCTGGTCAATTCACTCGGACATGTGATTAGCTGGACTTAATTTAACTGAGAATGTGATCGTGCAAAATTATATAAGAAAACAGGAAAAGTGCGAAAAATATAAATTAATTCTAACGGGTTTAGTGAGCAACTTTTTTTATTTATAGGGAACTGATATAAAAATTTATTTGGTTAATTAAAACTTTTTCCTAAGTTTGTTTGTTTTTTTTTTTGTTCAGTAAATCAATTCATTAAAGGAAAGAAAGAAACAATACAAAGAGGGGCAAATGCCCAAAGGCCACATGCCACAAACCTAGCTGAGCCACACCAGGCCCAGCCAAGGCAAAAAAAAATTGCATCAGCAACAACAGAGAGCAGCGACCACAGACAAACAGTTGCAGCAGCAAGAAAACCAACCCCTACACAGCACTTTCTATCACTGAACTAGGAAGACTCCACGCAGCTGCAATGGTTCTCGCAGCTCTAGAGTCACGAAACTTGCAATACATAAGACAATTCCGAACAGAGTCGTAGATCAGCTTTGTAACCGAAGCGATGGAGGCCATTTGGTTCATGGCATTTCTTATATTCCTCTCACTCCAGATGAAGTACACAGATGTTGTGAGGCAAAGCTTTTACACATAAGCTTCCGGCGCCTTTGTTCTATCCTTCCACATGGACACACTCCAATTGATGATGTCATATAAATTGAAGTCCCTAACATAGATCCCACACAGGTGTTGGAAGAACATCCAATTTTCAGAGGCAAATTTGCACTTAAAAAAAAGATGTTGGTGACTCTCGGCAGCAGCAAGGCAAAGTGAGCAGTAATTGGGAACAATCTTCTTTGCTAGAGCGGGGCTGTCCCTAGTTTTGAGCCCGTGACTAAGAGCAACCCAAGTAATAAAAGAGTACCTCGGAATGTGATTAGAAAACCAGATGACAGAGTACCAAAGAATAGATGGGGAAGGTGGAATAAGAGCACGGTAAGCAGTAGCAAGGTGGAAACTACCAGTAGATGAGAGAGTCCAAATAACCGAATCTTAAGACCCATTTCTCAGTAAAGGAAGATGCTATGCTGTCCCAATGGAGGGAACCAATTCTCTGAACAATCGCAGAATTCTCCACTGATCATGTCTAATGAGGCATTAGACCTTAGCCCACTCATCCCACTGCGAGCAAGCAATGAGGTTATGGTCAATTCTGGTATCGAGAGGCCCTGATCGAAGCCAGTAGTCATGCCAAAGAGAGACATCCTTACCATCACTTACCATGTGCTTGATAAAAGGTCTAGCAAGCCCTCTAAGATGGAGAAGCATCCTCTAATTTCAAGAGCACACCTGGGGAGGCTTTGGAGTCCAGAAACTGCGATCTTTGATGAGGTTCTCATGAGCCCATTCAAACCAAATGGATTGGCATCTGTCCTTAAACAGGTTTCAAATGTGCCTGAGCATGGAGATACAGTTCAAATCAGATAATTGAGGTATGCCTACACCTCCAAAATCTTTTTCCTAAGTTATTGAAAATTAAACCAAACATTTTCAACATTTTCCCGTGTACTTGGATTACTCTCTCTTTTTAGTGATCAGCACAGACATATAATAATTGAAATATATGTAAGAGTAGTACTAGACTTAAAATAAAATAATATTAAAAATTAAGGTCCATATATTTTTCTCTTAACATACCCACAAGTTAACCAGTATTAAAGCAAACACATAAAATTGCATTGGTTCTAAGTTTTTGGGTCCTCATTGTCATGGACCTCATGTCTGAGCACAAACATGAAACTGTGAAAATTAGGCCATCAAAGTAGTATGACTTAAGCCCAACTCTCAGGCCCGTTTGATGTTTGAATTTCTCAAAGTAGTATGGCTTAAGCCTAACTGTCAGGCCCATACGTTTACTCTCTGAAGAAATTCAAATACCAATCATTTCACTATAGCCCAACTATCAGGCCCAAAACTAAGAACTACAACTTCAACGACGATCCAGTTCTTAGGATCCATCCTAGAACCGTGCTCAATAGAATTGCCAATTACACACACCTTCATTGTTGTTTTTTAGTTTTCTTTTTGAAAAAAATTAATTAATTTTATTTAAAATATTACACTGCCATTTGAACATTACAGGCTGTTTGAAAATCGTTTTGCTTCGTATTTTTGTTGCTAAATTAGTTAAATATATATAAACGAAAGTATATTTGATAACATTATTTTTATGTTTTGCAGATTAACTTTCAGAAAAAAAAGCCAAATTCTAAAAGTCAGAAAAATGTGTGTTTTCACTTGTTTATGCTATTGTAACTCAATAATTATAGAAAGATACTTTTAAAAAATTAATATAATGTAAATACCACATATATGCACATTTTTATAATCAAAGTCCAAACGTGTTTTTCATTTTTCCTTTTTGTTTCAAAAATTGTGCAATAACAAATTTTAGATACCAAATATGTTTATGTTACAGATTGTAAGGGGTATTGAAAAATTGATAATAATGGCTTTGTACTTGGTGCAACAACAGCGCTTGCAGGTATGGCCGTGTGCCATGCCACGGTATGGTGCGCTGGTATGTCCATGCAATCTCTAAAGTCTAAAAGTATGCATCATAAACATCATGATACTGAGTTTTGCAAAATGGTGTTATAATAGCTTCCGAAAAATAAAAAATATGGTGTTATAAAATAAACAATATGACATGTATAAACTATAATAGTAAAGCCAGTAAATTCGAGCCTTAATAAACTTTACTTTGAATCTTGTATCTACTGTAGTTTGGAAAATTCATTTTGTGCCAATTCGGGATGACCAAAGTAAGGACATGTAGTCCATCTAATTATTGGATTACTTGCATTAAATGACTTGTCAATTTTATATTAAAGATGGATATAATTCCGTAAATTCACTTTTGACCATCATTATATAGAAAAATTTCATAAGATGTCAAGATAATTTTGTTCAAAATTTTATGAATTGGAGTCCACTTTTATGATCAAAATTTAAAGATGTTACGTGTGATATTTAATCATTTTCTGTCCAATTTTATAGATGGATAGTTATTATTGGGAGTGAGGAGTAACACTTTGTTTGGAATCATTTTTTTTTTTTTTTAAATTTGAAATTGGAAAAGGAAAAATATAGGATGAAATTTGAAGAAATGATATTTCATTTTTGTGTTTAGAATAAGCTGGAATTTAATTATAAAAAAATATAATATTTATTATTTTATTCTTATTAATTAAAGAAGGACAATTTGTGTAAGTTACAAACCTACGACAAAACTAATTTACAAATTTTAATAAATTTTTTCATTTTTCATGAAATTTGAATACAATATACTTTGGGATCATTAAATTCCTTTGATTCTAAACACTAAAAATTCTATTTCGAATTCCAAAACCTACAAAATTCGTGACTTTATTAATGTGTGCCTTGGTAACTAAGGGTGTGTGTGGATAAATATTAGAGAAAATAAAAGAAAGGATAGTAATAATTTATATTCGTGTTTGGATAAACAGGGGAGAAAAGAAAAGAAATGATTGTTATTCTTGTTTGGACAAGATAGAGGAGAGAAAAGAAAAAAAATGATAGTGACCAAATTATTGTCCTATCATTTCATAACCATTTTATACATTATTCATTTCCAAAATCTTTTTTTTTTTTTTTTAAATTCAATGCCATGGGTAAAAACAAAAGTAAAAAAGAAAAAGAAAAAAGAAAAAGTATCGCAAAGCTAAAATGAACCATTCAACAGGCATGGTAAAAACAAAAGTAAAAAAGAAAAAGAAAAAAAAAAAAAAAAAGTATCACAAGACTAAGATGAACCATTCAACATGGTTGAAGATAATAGCAGTCTTTAACCTTTTTTATGAGCATATGAAAAATTTATTTTTGTTGTATCTGTTATACCTACGTGACTCGATCCCTTCCCATCGTAAAAATTTATTTTTGTTGTATCTGTTATACATACATCATTGCATTCCACTAAGCATATTGGGACATAAATGAAATTATATTTTTATATATTGATTTGTAGAGGGTATTTTTGGTATTAATAATTTATAACTTACTATCCCTCCCTATCTTTTCAAATTAGGAGAGAAATGACATAAGGGATAGGGAGGGATAGCTTACTATCCCTCCCTATCAAGCTATCCCTCCCTATCATCTATTTTCTTTCCACTTAACCTACCCAAACACACTCTCACACTATCACTATCATCTCTTTTCTTTTCTCTCCCTCTCCCTCCAAATCAACCCTACCAAACACACCCTAACCAAAATGACAATTCTTGTAATTTTAGATTCAAATTTTTTATTTATTATTATTTCTCATTTTAAGCAAGTACTTAAAGTGGGCCATTGGCTGTGTGTGTCTCATGGAAGTAGAATTTTCATTTTGCTTAGTTACCAAGGCAAGAACACCTTAATAAAGTCACCAAAACGAACGCTCCAAATATCTGAGATCTTTTGCTAGTGAGTGTCCCAAATCTCTCTCCTTCATCGCCTTCTAGGGTTAGGGTTGGGTTTTTTTTCCTCTCTCATATCAATGGCGTTGGAATGGGTGGTTCTAGGCTACGCCGCGGGCGCAGAGGCCATCATGCTCCTCCTCCTCACCCTCCCAGGTCTCGACCCTCTCCGCAAGGGTCTCATCACCGTCACTCACAGTCTCCTCAAACCCTTCCTCTCTATAGTTCCGTTCTGTCTCTTCTTGTTGATGGACATCTACTGGAAGTACGAGACTCGACCCTCCTGCGAGTCCGAATCTTGCTCTCCCACGGAGTACCTCCGCCACCAGAAGTCCATCATGAAGAGCCAGCGCAACGCCGCCCTCATCGCCGCCGCCCTTATCTTCTACTGGCTCCTCTACTCCGTCACCGCTCTCGTCGTTCGCGTCGATCAGTTGAACAAGCGATTGGAGAAGTTGAAGGCTCAGGACTGAGGCTCTTCAATCTTCCGATCTGAGATAAGCCCTTTTTCATTCATTCCATAAATCAGTTTGTCCTTTCGTTTCTTTGTGATTTGTTATTATGTAATTCTGTAGACATTGATTGAGGGCTTCTTGTTAGTTCTACTGTTTAATGGATCTTCTATGCGAGTTTTGTTCAATTTATGGGAAATCGATTGTTAACAGAAAAAAGACTGATGTAATTGGATTATATGTTTGTGAAATTCTATATGTTCTCACTAATATCAAAATGAAAATGAGATCAATTAGTTTTATGTAGATGAGGTGTAACTCGCATATTTTGATCTAAACCTTGTTATGTGGAAGTTAAATTTCTAAATAGTTACTTTTTCTGCAGGCATTCTAACACTTCACCTGATGATGCATTTTTTATCAATTAGTTGATTTTTGCGTCAATGAATGTAGTCGATCATACATGTGCGTCTGTGTGTGTGTGTGTGTATATATATATATATATATATATATTAATATATGTACTGTTACAAATACCAACCATGGATGATCTTGATTCAAAGGTATATGGCTCAACTTGCCGATCATATTTGGGAAATCAAAATGTTATGTTTTGTTGTGTGGCTGAATCTTTCACATTTCTTGTATATGGCACACTAATGACGAGTTCAAGCAGGTGGAAATTTTATTATTTTGTTTGTCATTGTAGTAGTTTGCATTTGATTCTTCCATGGTAGTTAATAACATAAATAAAATAGCAGTTATTGTGTATCGTGGAAATGAATGGATATGTTGTTGTGTGGATGGTTTATATAAGAAGTTATCTTCCAAATTAGAGACAATAAATGTGCAAATCTTCTCTTTAAGGAACTTTTTATTATTACGATGACTTTATATTGTGTATTTTGGCAATAATGAATGGATATGTTTTTGTGTGGATGGTTATTTTAGAAGTTCTCTTCCAAATTAGACAGTAGAGACAATTTGCATATATATATATATAAGGTTAAGTGCAAGAAACACCCTTCTTAGATTTAAAAGGTGCAAAAAAACCCCTATTATTTTTTTTGGTGCACAAAAACCCCTACTGTTTGTTTTGGTGCAAATTGCCCCCTAGTCATTCATTTTGACCAATATTTTTTATGAAAATCTCAAACTTGCCCTCCTAATCAGGTGAAAACTATCGCCGGCGAACACCATTTCCGACAATCACCATCTCTCTCTAAATACACACATATATGTAGACACACGCATACACATACATATATATTACCACCACCAATCACCCCCACCATATACCACCACCACCGCATCATCACAGCTTCACCACCCATCATCACTCCCCACAATCACCACAAAATTGAGTTCTGCAGCTGAAAACTTCATGGAGTAAATAACTTCATCATCCATAATAAATATAGTTTCCAAACATAATGTAGAAAACTTTTTGTGCAATGAAGTCACAATATCTAACATAAAGTTCAATTGAAACCAAAACTCTAATTGGATGCTGAGAAAACTGTATGGATTTTTTTTATTCTTTAAAAAAAAAAAAAATTAAGAAGAAGAAGAAATCAGCCTTCCACGCCCATAATTGTACCCAAAAAAAAAAAAACAGTTATCTTCCCTTGAGCCAGATTTTCTGGGCAGCCAAACACATGCCTAATTCACAGATCAAAATTATGCACAATGAAAAAACAATCAATGAAATGTGTGTTTTTCACTTATCCCACATAATAACAGAGAAATCGAAGAACCAAACAAGAATCTGAATAAACATGGTGGGAGACCTACAACAGGCTCTGCTAGCAGAGATGAGAAACACGTCAAGAGAGTCCATATGGAAGGTTGAGTGGTACCATAGCTGCCAGTACTACTGTATGCGTTTGTCTATATATATATATGTGTGTGTGTGTGTGTGTACAGAGAGAGATGATGCTGGCCGGAAATGGTGCTTGCTGGCGATAGCTTTCATCGGATTAGGAGGGCAATTTTGGGATTTTCATAAAAAATATTGGTCAAAATGGATGATTAGGGGGCAATTTGCACCAAAACAAATAGTAGGGGGTTTTGTGCACCAAAAAAAACAATAGGAGTGTTTTTTGCACCTTTTGAATCTAAGAGGGGTGTTTCTTGCACTTAATACATACATATATGTGTGTGTGTGTGTGTGTAATTCCTCTATTTAGGGAACTTTTTTTTTATTACTTAATTATTTGATAGTTCTTTCTTTACAAATTTGTTGTTTTTAGTTGTTTATTCATTTTTAAATATCATGACACAATCATGGGTTTGTGCTACTTCAATATAATGTACAGTTGATTGAGGTCATTTGACTCAAAAGACTTCGAAGTGGTTAACATGTGGATTCTTTTGGGGTTTAAAACTGGGGAGAGAATGTCAAACACTTGTATGAGACATGGATATGACACTTCAAAGGTATGCTGATACGGCGAAATCCTAAAAAAGTAAGATATGGGTACTTCGTGTACACAATTATTTGTAAATGTAAATTTTCGTTAATGTTATAGACTTTTAATTAATTTTTGATTTCTGTTAAAAGAATTTCATAATATAGAGGATTAAACTCTGTGAATATTGTAAATATTATTATATTATAATGCTAGCACTCACCTACTTTGTTATTGTTATTATTATTATTTTGTTCTATATGAAAATGTTTGTTGCATGCTCAACTTCTCGTGATCATGTGTGTAATAATGTTCATTTTTTAAAAACATAATGAAAGAACGAAAGAAAGGTTTGACACTTTTGAGCTGTGTTCGTATTGTTTCCAACTTTGTCAGATTGGCTTATCTTGGATGTGTTTGTAGTATTTAGGATGCGTTAGCCAAGTGCTTGGGATGTGCCAGCTAAGTGTCTAAAATTATGAAATTCAATTTTAAATTGTGTACACATTCATGAAGTGTTGGATACGTGTTCTTTAGTGTTCTGGTTCCCTGTGGGGGAGTAACCAAAGAATTTTAGTTGGTTTCAGGAAGATGAGTATGTTAGCTAGTCCAAGATTTGAAAGGAGTGATCTCTGTGGTCCATATTTTTCTTCCGGAAAACTTCCTTTTGGTTCTTATCTCAAAGGAATTCGATATTTGTATTATGTTCTTTGTGCAACATTTAAGTTCTTAAGGGAGGAGGAGGCGGGGGCAACCTCCCTACTGATAGTTTCATGCTTAAGGTAGTAATTCTTTTGTTCAGGGATTTGTATGAATTCTTCTTTTAGCTCTCATGTCTGTAGTTCCTGTCTTGTTTAGAAGATCTTCAAATTTTGTATATTCTCATGTTCTTGTTAATGAAATGCTGCTTCAATGTCCTTTTATGGGGTAAAGATTTTTATTATTCATTTCCGAAAACTTATTGAAACTTTCCCAGGGTAATTCAACAAGTAAGGGCTCTTTCATTGCAATGGTGGAATTTATTCGAGGCTATACAGCCCATATGTTTTATAACCCTTTAGTGGATTGACCCTTCTGCATATAATCGATATGCATATCGTCACAATGACAGTACCTGTCTTGCACTGGTCGCATTTCACCTCTCCTTGTTATAATTGGAGATCCAATTATATTATGTAATTCATCTGCCTTACTGGCTTCTCTATGCTGTTATAGATATTGTGTCAATTCATCAGCACAAGAAGCAGTAGAAGAAGAGCCAGGATTGATTCACAATTTGTTCCACTTTATCATATCATCTTGCAATGAGCTTTTTCTTTATTATTTTCTTGTTTAAGGGGTTTTAATTCTGAAAATGTTGCTTATGGTAGAATGTAGAGTGATGCATGTGCATATTTGATTTTCTTTTAATAATTTTCTTTGGTATGGATGTTGTCTATGGCATTACTTTTAATTGTTGTCTTTTGTGTGCCTTTTTGTTTACACCTTCACTGAAACCTTGTTTTCCAAGAATACTTTAGGCTTGCAAAGCCATCCTTGGCCCTACAATGTAAATGGAGAAAAGTCAAGGCTAGATGTTTCTACAGACTACATGTATATATATATGCAGGAAGTCGTTAAAAAGTTGAACCATCAAATTAGGGGTGGTAATGCAGTAATATGTGTGACACACAGAGCTTTTTTTCTTTTCTGTCTCTTGCTTCATTTACTTGGCAGTAACAATATATTATTATTCATAATTACCCAATTATGTTTTGAAGAGACTGTTTTTTATTCTTATTGAAATGCGATATTACTAGGGGCAGCTTAGTGGTTGAAAATCTTGAAGGTAGGAAACAACTTTTTCGGAGGGATAGTTTATGCATTGTCTTTGTTTCCCTGGTCAGATTTGACATTCCAAGTTTGGGAGTAACAGTGAAGGCCAGATTTTAGGGGTTGAAGTTGTGAAACTTAATAGGGAAGGGTTATGAACTTGGCAGTAAATAGAAAAGGATGAAATGATTTCATCAAATATTATAGAGAGAAACAAAAGGGTCTTGTAACGAAAGCTCAGACATCCTCCCTATTATGCTTCCTTTTTAAGAGAGCTTTATTTAGTTAAAGAAGAAGGGTCATAAACAGGTTCACTCTAGGTCTAGGATCTATAAGAAAGATGAGTTGTTCTAGGTAACAGCAAGAGATGAACTCTGTTCCTGGTCAGTATCACTCGCTCCTACTGCTACTGCTACTGCTTGGGTAGAAGTGTGGCACTTATTCTGGCCTTCTGTTTACATAGCGAAGAAGAGCAGAGGCTCTTGCTTGAATGTGGTGGGACTGGGGCGCCATTCTTGAACTCCAACACAAACACCAACACCAACACCAACCCCAACCCCAACCAACCGAGTGAGACGAATTTGGATGGAGTCTTGCAGATTGAGATGTTTACCATTTTCTTATTATTAGTAAAGATAGGTTGCTTGGAAAATGAATTCGAGAGTAAACTAAACTGGATGATTGCAGGAGTAATAAGTTTGTTCATTCCCTTTCTCAAACAAGCATAGGATGATGGATAGATTTGTGGGGATGAGTTTTTATGTGGGCTTTGGACTTGGCATCCTTTACAATGTGGGCCATTGACTAGCTCACTTCCTCCTTTACAGTGTGGGCCGCATTCACCTACATACAAATCATGCACTCTTCTTATCCATATACAGAATATGCATGGTTCGCATTCTTTCTCTACCATCATGCATACGTTTGAATGACCTATTTTTTTTAATAGAAAAAATGTATAAAGCATCTTACTAGAAACGAAATCAAAATTGCAAAGAGACTTGGACTACGAAGACTTGAAAAAAAAAATCATAGTTGTTTTATTCGAGAAAACAAAACCCAAAGAAAAAAACACCAACAAAGGTTGTCTCATCTGTATATATACACGTAAGAAAGAAACCACTACACAAAGTTGATGGTGAAGGGTGAATAGTGAAATTAAAACCAGCTGGGAATTTGATTCTTTTTCAAAGCTAGGGAACAAGTTGCAATCAGACCCAACCAAAATCCAGTTTACTCATCCACTACTACTTGTACCAAAGAAAAAAATAAAAATAAAAATAAAAAGAATGATCAGTAGAAGCTTCTAGCATGATCAGCCATTGACTACTACCAAATTCGTTGACCGCCACCAATCTAACGCGTACAAGTATAATTTTATTTGACTAAATAAAAACTCATTGCACGTAATTTTGCTCATTTTTCTTATTTTTCGGCTCCTCCTACATCATTTTTCTTAGGGGTTTAGTGACAATGACACCATGCCGGATGTAGCGTTAAAAACAGCGGAGAATCTTTTATTTTCTCAGCCTACTGTACATTTTGCGTGTGACAGAGTGAGGACCTCTCCAAGACCTTATTTTGTTTAATATCATTTGGTAATATATTCTAATTTATGCTTGATACGATGTTTTATCAGATATTTAATTACAAGCGTGTAAGATTAAGAAGAAGGGTAAATTACACTCGCCTCTTTCATGAGGTCAGGAAAAATTGTACATGGGTAAATTGTTTATTAATTAAACTTTTGCTTAGATTTGGCGGACAACACTTCTGGCATTTTCTTTTCTTTCACATAGATTTGTTGACCAAATTTTTTAAAATGACAAAATTTTTCCTTTCCTTCTACAAATTTTAATATAATATATTATTGTAATACAAGAGCAGTATTGACTTTTCACACTCAAGGTCTCTTTTTTACATCCAACAAAAGAGTTTAAGGGAAATCCAAGTAATAAATGCTGAACAGTCTCCTCGTGTGTAATTTATCCATTTGAAATTAGTGTAATTTATCTTGAGGGTAATGAAATTGGAGCATTGGAATTGAATTTGAAAAAACCAAGAAAATTGAACCAAACAACCGAACACCCCTTAATAAGAATGGACTCTACTTCAATATAAAAGTCTTTCCTTTGGAATTTGATATAAGTGCACATATAATAATATATATTTTTTAGTTAATCCGAGGTATCCAGGAAGGCACGAACCCATAGGGTCCCTCAACAACCTAACTAATCCCTGATGATTCGGAAGGGCGCCTCCCCACCCGAACATGGTAAGTCAATACAGGAGTAGCGAAGACTAGCCACAAAAAGCATCCAACAAAATTCGAACCCCAGACATTAAGCTTGCTAAACTTTAAAGTTTAGCGAACAAACTGCTATGCCATATCGATAACATAGGACACATATCAAAACATTAGCTGCATGAAGGATTAGTGGTGACAAATTAAAGCAAACTCCTCCTTGCTAGCCTCCTTTGCTACAAACACAAGTGCTCGTCTGAAAACCATATAGTAACTCTTTGGAGTGACCACATCCACGAGGCTAGGTACTATCATGAAAATTGGGCAACTTATTACCATTAATCAATTTTTGTGAACAGAGGATGATGAGTCACCCTAATTATTCCTTCTTACTGTTGTAGGTGGCATGAAATTATTATTATAATTATTATTTACTATAATGATATAACACCATTGTTTTACTACTATATATGTGTGTATATCACATAACCATTTATTACTATCAATATATTTATAATTGTGGTCCCTAGCTATATGATGAATGTACATGGCTTTGAAACCGACCTACTAATATTATTTTTACACGCTACTATATTATTGAAGATCTTGACTTTAAAATATTTCGTAACTTGTACATCTAAAATAAGACTAGATTACATTAATTATTGACTTTAAGAACGATTTAAACATAATTATGTAACCAAACCCATGCAATTGACATAATTCATTGTTGGATTGAGTATATTTGCGGCCACCAATTGAAAATTCAGCCTCACTGAAATCATTTGTGGCATCCAAGTGACTGTAGTAATAATACATGTATAAATTGTTTAAATGATTTATTTTATTGGGTGTGTTTTACTTTTTCTTTTCCTCCATCTATGTATGCTGAGGTGTGAGTGTGGGGACATGTTTGGAATTGAAGAAAGGAGTGGGGAGTGGATGAGGTGGCGCTTTCTGAAGCAGACATCACATGAGTGTGCAGAGTCAAAGATTAAAATAAATAAATAAAATAATGATTGGCCAATAGCAAAACCGTGTCCTTCTAGAGTGGGGATTGGGTTAATAAACTTTATATTCTTACATATATATATATATGAAGGTGCTGCTGCTTCATGCTTGTTCAGTCTCCCCAGTTATCTGTATTTCTCTAGTAGCTAGCATTCTCTCTCTCTCTCTCTCTCTCTCAGTTAGTTTAATTGGGCTTGTTTAGGTTTCATATATATATATATATATAGTTTTGGTGAAGATGGGAAGGCAACCATGCTGTGACAAAGTGGGGTTGAAGAAGGGGCCATGGACAACTGAAGAGGACAAGAAGCTCATCAACTTCATCCTCACTAATGGCCAATGCTGTTGGAGAGCTGTTCCTAAACTTGCAGGTCTCCCTCATCACATTTTCAATGTCTTTAACCAAAATTTTAAGACACGGAGAGAGAGAAGAATTGTTTTGGTTCTTTATATATACTTAATTGAAAGCTAAATTCATCGTGAATTTTCTAAAAATATGGATTGAAAATCTTGGGTTTTATTATTATTATTATTATTATTTTTTTTTATTTTTTTTTTTTTAAGAAAAATGAAATGGGTGTTGTTTGTAATAATAAAAAGTTCTGTCCATAGATAATATAAAGAATGTTTGATGTCATAATGAAACTGGAATTTACAGTTCTTAAGCAAATATTTCAGTAATTACTTTATTAAAATAAGTCTTTAATTTTTAATTTTGATTATTGACTATGGTGAGTGTGGTTGATGGACAACATTAATTGCAGGACTGCTAAGGTGTGGTAAGAGCTGCAGGCTGAGATGGACAAACTATCTGAGACCAGACTTGAAGAGAGGTCTTTTATCGGACTATGAAGAGAAAATGGTTATTGATCTTCATGCTCAACTTGGAAACAGGTTTGTTTACTACTTCAATCACTTCATGAAAATATATGTCTCAATCTCTATCTCTTTTTTTTTTTTTTTTCTTCCTTCCTGCTCTTTGCTACAGGTTCAATGCAGAATTTGGTAAAGTAGTCTGCTGCATTATTACTTGATTGATCCATTCATACATACATACATACATACATATATATATATATATATATATATTGGTGTGTACTGTAAATGAAAACAACTTCAAGAAAGAATTATTTCGAATGCATGAAATAAAGTGGCAGACAATAACTGCAAGATGGAATGAGTCCTATCTGAGGAACCCATTCCTTGTACTTCTGTTGCATTATTTTTTTTCAATAATGCTGTTGTTGCGCATCGACAAAGAGTCCTTGTTAGACACGGTTGTGTCATAAAAAACAGATCAAATTATTTGTTTTGGGACTCTGATTAGTCTTTTTTTTTTTTTTTTGTAATAAATAAAGGGTAGACTTGTCCAAGAACTATATATATATTATGTGTGTGTGTGTGTGTGTATATATATAAATATATAATTAATTGTTTTCTAGTGGCATGCATGTATCAAAAATGTGAATGATTAACTTGAAAATGATATGCAGATGGTCCAAGATTGCTTCTCATCTCCCTGGAAGAACTGATAATGAGATCAAGAACCACTGGAATACCCACATCAAGAAGAAGCTAAGGAAGATGGGGATTGATCCTCTCACCCACAAGCCACTTCTCACTCCGACTATTGATCAACCAACACATCATCAACTAGTACCACCTTCTTCTATAACTTGTGAAACTATTGAAATAGGTACTGATAATTACAAGGACATAGAGACATCACTGTCATCTATTATTAATATTACAAATGATGATGAGGTCAATAAAGAGGAAGATAAAATCATGGAAAGCTCATTTGATTATTCATCAATGGAAATCAACAATGGGTTTTGCACAGATGAAGTCCCATTGATTGAACCACATGAGATTCTAGTCCGTTGTAGTACTACTCCGTCTTCGTCATCGTCATCATCTTCTTCTTCATCATCCAATAATATTAATCACGATCAAGACTTGGAGTTACCTACTTTTGACTGGCTTTGTGACTTCACCAATGGAATGGGTTCTTGGGATATTGATGACTTCACCAATTTTGATTTGCTGTTTAATGATGAGAGCGACACACAACTGTTGAATCCCTCACTCCAGATATGGTCCTGAATCAAGAATCTTGGAAATTTAATTTCTTGTGAATTTCGAAATTTATTTATGGTGTATGTTACACGGGGGCTGTAAGGTAAATTCGGATATGTGCAATCAAACCATATTGCATGTATGCTGTTTAGTTGTTAAAATATTGAATAATTGTCAAGAATCAGTGCAAAAAGCTGATCGCTTGTATAAATATTCTTTTCAAGTTTCTGTTGTCTCACTTTGGAACTCTGCTCATTTCATTTGATAGAAAAATGTTCTATAATTACTCGCTACAAATTACTGTGTTTTATTCCTATTTTAACCAATAACAAGCTCCTACTAGTCAACGGAATTACAAGCTCCACAGAGATGTCCAATTATTTTTCAAATTCCAAATTTAAATTAGTTTTAGATTTCATGAATAGAGAAATGATAGGGCAATGAAGTCAATTAATCATTAGACATTGAACTTAAAGTAATATCTAAGAGAGCCTAAGGTCTTAAACAAGAATTGGCCGAAGATGCCAAAACTTCGAATTTTGAAATTTGCAAGAGATTGGAAATATTTCGGGACATAATATTTCGTTGCACTAGACTCTCGTCATTGCAAGTGTGAGAAAGGTCAAAAGCTTGAAGCCTCTTCAAAAAAAAAAAAATTATGTATCATAATTTAGCATGAATAATTTAGCAGTGAAGAGAAGTTATAAAAGTTGGTTGACTTTTTTGTGATGTGTCATTGAACTATAGGCTGTCTTGTTGCACAAGTTGGCAACCTTTACACATCTGGAGATGCAGCCTCCAAACAAAAAAGTATTCCAAGTCAATTTTCCAAATAACCTAAAACATACAAAGGGGTTGGTTATCCCAGGTTTTTAAAATTAAGTAGTCTTATAACTTATCAAAAAAAAAAATTAAGTAGTCTTATAATTATGGTTAACAACATATGTAATAAGTATATGGTACATGTGATTAGAATCATTAGATTAAAATTAAATATGCAAAGAACAAATAATATATAAATCTTTGGAAAACGATATAAATTTTACACAGACATTGTTTTTTTTTTTTTTTTTTTTCTTCTTTCCTTTTTTGAGACGTTTCCACTTTCCACTCAGCGGAGAAAATTGAAAAAGAAACAAAAGACGACAGCATGTGATCGAGGCGAAAACAAAGATATGTAAAAAGTCTTACATGATAAACTATATATATATATATATATATAAAAAAAAAAATTATAAAGTGGCAGTTTATATAAATAATCATGAAAATAGTTTAGCGTATGAATACGTATTGTATAAGCATGACCCTTTACTTGCTAAGGATTACAAGGATCGCTTTTTCTTGTAAGCTAAAACCGTAAGTCACGAGTAACAATGACATAGGTCCAACCGTATATTGAATTAACTTACAAACAATTTGTGTGACTAAGTGTATTAAAAATTAAGATGAATATGATAGAGTTCATGTAGCTTCCATAAGATATTTTGTTACATTGGCATATATCCATCAATACAGCTAACAATATTGTTAATAATGACAAATAATATTGTTTTCTTTTCTAACATCATTGATATATATACTTAAGTAGTATTATATTATACACACGAATGCATTGTCTAGATATATACTTGTATAAAAGAGCTAGGGGTTGACACTGGTTATATAAAGTAAAAGCATATATATATATATATATATATATATATATATATGTGTGTGTGTGTGTATCTGGCAAAGACAAATTCAATGTTGATCCAAGAAAACACGTAAATACACCAAGCTAGTCAGAGTGAACTCTAGAGGTTGTCTCATGCATGTCTTTTCTACGCAGCTTCTGGTGGTTTGAATTCTGAAGTAATATCAGACATTGACTTGGACCCAAGCTTGGTTTGGACAAGCGAGGATCTACTGCAATAAATTATTAAAGACTATATTACACATTGCTACAATGAGAAATTATTACATCATTAATATTTGGTGGATCAATTAAATATAAACTCTCGAATTGAAAAAAATGATTCTAGAATAATGTATTAATAAATTACAAAGTTTTATGATCGGAGGGTTTTCATTAAATTAGTCCACCAAGTGTCAAATTGATCAAGACTATTTAATAATTTCTCCTGCTACAATTGACAATACATTAACTTTATTAGTAAATAATACTTCTACACGCACGCGCGCACACACACATATATATATTTGTTTATAAGCATATTGGATATTGAGTAATGACATACAACTCCAAAGCTCACACGGACCCAATAGATAATGTGATTAGTAGATAACCACAATATGTCATCTCTTTAATATTATACACTCGTTCATTTTCTTACCTTTGCATTGATAATGTCAATTTGGTACTTCTTCACTTTGAAAAAATATGTATATTTGATAAATAATCAAGCTTACAATTTTAATTTTTTGATAAATAATCAAGCTTACAATTTTTATTTTTTATTTTTAGGTGAGCGCTAGCTAACAAAGTGAAGCTAAATACATTCACAAAGAGTTGAATAATATGTTATCATGTATTACTAACATTTTTTTTTTTTTACCCATTTTGTTCATTGGATGACTCAAGCCTCATCATTCATTTTGAATAGAAGAAATATCATTAGACCACACAAGGCCCTTTGTTTGTATTACCAATATAAGAAAAGTTCTAAAATAAGCCTTATAAAATTACTGAATACCAAAAATCAAAATAATTTGAGTCCGTTTAAATTTTTAATAAAAATTCTAAAATATTCAATCTTTCACATCTAAACAATGATAATAAAACTTGAGTTGGTCCGTTTTTGATCAAAAATTAATTTTATTAGATCTAAACAAACTCCTTAAAATTGATCCAAAACAATGTATCAACCTATACGTTTGAGTTTTCGATAATGTAAATAATATCTACTCTACAGCAATCCCCTCTAATCTAATAAATAAATTTAAAAAAAAAAAAAAAAATCTCCTCTAATAAAATCCGAAAAGAGATTGGACGTATTAAGATTTAGTTACATTTGTTGATTGGAAATTAGTATTCCTTAATCCGGGTCTCATTTCACGTGTGGGGCTTAGATACAATGAACGTAATTTATAAGTCGCATTAGTCCATCCTGCTGTTTCTTTCTCAAGCTCGTGTTCTTACATTCACTGGTACCAAGCAAGTCACAAGTCAGAACTCACACTTTTCATCATTATCCAAACTTTGTACGAACAAACGCGTTATTATAAATAATATGGGCCTATTTTGTTGGCGTTATATTTTTATTTTTAGTCGGGGTATTCTAGAGCGTCGAAACACTTTATGAATAATAGCTAAAAATATAAATGACAATCTAACTACTTATTATATATTTTTAAAATTTGTAGTACTTTTTAATTAAATATTTTTTTATTTTAAAATATCTTATAATAAAATGTCTCAGGTCACATAAAGCGAGAGTAGGAGCGAGAGCGAAGAGCATGAGAGAAGCAGAATTAACTCATAAACAATTAGAATTTGAGAGAGAGCACGCGAAGTGTGAAAGCTAAAATGCGCTCAGAGTGTGAAAACGACGTCCGTTGAAAAGAAATGTATGACTTATTATTCAAAATATTGTACAATAAAATGTTGCTTCTATTTTGAATTAAAATAAAATTACAAAATGTTTCCCTTAACAGGTAGTCTGCATATGTCTCAACAGGTATAAAAAGAGATTGAGCATATATATATAGTGTCTCCATGAATCAAAACTATGATATTTTGGATTTTTATATAATCACTCAAGACACAAAGATAGAGGAAAAGAAATGAAATTGATGTGAGCCTCCTATTTCAAAACGCGGTTTAGAAAATTTTATATATATATATATATATATATATGAAATTAAAGTTAAGAAAGTAGTCGCACAAAGACCTAGTAGTGAGCGTGTCCCCAACTAAATCTAGAAATTTGTTAAAAAAAGGTTAGATATATGGTACATCCAAAAATGGTGACTAGTGGAAGAAGTACTTCAACCCAAAGTCTGAATTTAAACTCTCCCTTGCTTAGTGTGAACGACTATAGCTTTCTTCTGATTCTTTCTCCATTTTACAGAAACGCATTCACACTGTGTGTGTGTGTGAGTGTTTTATTTTATTATTTTATTATTTTTTTATATTTTTTGTTATTTCCAACTATTTTGTGATTAACCTTTTTTTTTTTTTCTCTCTCTCTCTCTAAGCCTCTGGTTATTGGTAAATGGCTTAGTTTTGAAGCAATCTGATCAAAAGTAACCAGCATTTGATCAATTGCGCGCTCACATCAAAAGCTGGTTTGTATGTATATGAAATCATGAAATCGTGCAAGAACATTGTTATTTTATTTTAATATTTATGTTTGGGTAAGGAAGGACATGGTTAAGGTTAATTACTTCAAAGCAATCTGTTTAATCATTTAAATCCTTCTTAAACGTGGTTTAAACGTGTTATTAAACATCATGAATACGAATATTTGGTGGGCCATTTACTTTATTATGATTTGATTACTGATTAAATGATGGATAAATACTGGAGTGCTTGCAATCTTTGACATTAGCCAGGAAGAGAATAAACATATACGGAGACCTCTCCAAATAATATTAAGAGTAAAGTGTAAACAATTTCTTGAATAATGTTTGAATTTGTTAATAATTTCCTAAATTATATTTTATGCATAATATCTCCTTAATTATCATATTTTATTACAAAATGTTCTCAATGCCTACTCTATACTTCATTAAATAATCATAATACACTTTCTTATTGAATTACACTTGATCTATTTTTCTTATTGAAATAAATTATGGAAAAAAAAAAATCATACTAATTTGATGAAGCATTCTATATTAAATTAGCATAAAGTTACCTTTAATTTTTAAAATTAATTGTTTAAATAAAATTTTAAAATAATTTAAATAATTTCTTAATTTTTCATGAATATATTAGATGAAAAATAAATTATTTTTTATTTAAGTAATTTATTAATTTTTCATCAATATATATTGTAAAAAAAAAAAAGTACAAAGTATTTTTCTACGTTAAAAAAGTTTAAACTGGTATAATAAGTTTTATTATAAATAATAAATTTTAATAATACGTTAATCATTTTAGAAAATAGTAGTTACAAAAATTTTTTTTTTTCATTTTTATTATAGATTGATACTAATAATAAAATTAAAATAAATAGTATAATTAATATTTACATAAGAAAAAAGATAATAAAATAATTTAATAAGAAAGAGT